ATAACAGGATATGTTCAAAATAGAAATCACTCAATTATTTGACTATAAACCATTTTTAATCATTTAAAATTTTTTTTATTTGAAAAGCAGAGTGACAGAGACAGAGAGACCTCTGTCCACTGGTTCACTCCTCAAACGGTTGAGAAGCCAGGAAGCAGAAACTCCATCCGGGTACCTACGTGGGTGGCAAGAGCCATCTCTGCTGCTCTCCTAGGAGCACTAACAGGGAGCCTGACCAGAAGCAGAGCTGCTGGGACTCAAACCAGCCCTCTGAGAGGAGATGTCTGAGCCACAGTGGGGCTTAACCTACTGCACCACAACATCAGCTGTACTTAAAATTACTTCTTAAAGCCATTTTACTATTCTATTTTGATGCCAGAGGTAGGGGCTGAGGTAGTAGAACTGAAGAAAATTCCTAATAGTCTTTTTAACACATCAAGTGTCACTAGTCATTTTCTGGTATTTTCTCAAGTTTCATCTGAGCTACAGGAGTTAGGGCAGTCATGCCCTTTTGTACCCATAAGACTCTTTCATTTCAAAAACGCCTCGAATGACAAGCTAAAACTTGAGCCACAAATATACAAGTGCCAGCTTCAAATATCACCCACAGGTCTGAATGCCTTCTGAGAACACGCAGGGGTCCAGGTGCAGGCTGAACAGCCCTGGGTAAGGAGGACTCAGCTCATATATTGAGGCTGTTACTGAAATGCACGTGGGCATCCTTGCATCCTTCAGCCCAGAGTGGGGGGGGGGGGTGTCAGTTAGCAAGCTGTTACAGGAGCTATCGCTGAGTAAGGCATCATTTAAACAAGGATTTGTCTGGGCACTAGAAGACTCAGACTCTGGAGAGTTTAGAAGCTGACAAGAAGCAACTCAGCTACTGAAAGATGAGAGTCTTAGGGACATTTATCCGATGATCTTAAAAACAGGCAGCTAGATTTGCTACAATCATCGTTTAAAAGCTTTCTTTTACAAAGCAAGGCTTTCTGAAAACACTGCTTTTGGTTTCTCTACCTCCAAGTTGTCAGTACTGAAAAGGAAACTCTCAAAAAATGAAAGGCAGTTTCACTTAACGTGCTGGGTTTAAGAGGCCAGGCTGCTTTCACACTCGCAGAGCTGTCTCCCAGGCTTTCACAGAAGGGAGAAGCTGCAGGGTGGAGTGAGTGTGCCTGCCCACAGCGGTCAGGGGGCTGGGAGCTCCAGAGACATTCCACAGTGAGCCTTCGCTGTCAGCATCACATTATCACGAATGAGGTGTGAGGAGCTGGCTCTCCTGCTGTGGAATGCTGGGTCTGTGCGAGGCAGACAGCCCCTCCAGGCTAGGGCCTCCAGGTTCGCTCCCTGCCCCCAGCTGCATGTTCTCCCGGGTCCCTAATCTTGATGGTCAGGAAGATCCAGGCCAGCAAGTTGCAGTTAACTGCGCAAGAACTGCTAGCTTTCAGCAGTTGTGACAAACGGTAAAGTCATTAGGTTCCTGTACTTGGTGCTTGACAGTTTCAAGCTCAGTAAAATATGATCGATACTCTTTCTGATGTCTTTATTGATCAGCTATGGCTACGGGTGGCCTTGCAGTTTCCTCTCCTTACAGCTCACTCAGAAATGAACAGATCTCAAGTATGAGAAAAACTGAAAACCTTTATTGCGACAATAAAACCAAAAGAAACACACAAAAGGCACTCTGCAAACACTCCTTCTCACTACCATTATTTCAACACTAGTTGGCCTGCCAATTTTCTGATTCTGAAATGTAAATAGATAGATAGAAAAGTTAGCCTGGGTCTCTTTTTCATTAAATGCTTAATCACTTAGCTCATTTCCATAAACTGGCAGGAATTCAATCTCAACTCCTTTCTTTTTTTCCTCAGCCGCTTTTTAGGGGAGTAATCCAACATTCCCAAGAGCAATTAAGTGATGTTTTCTCATGAGACCAAGACAAATAAACAGCCCAAAAAATACATTTCCGTGAATTTAAAATGTTGAACTCAGATCTCTATCTTTTCTTATTTCTAAACAATTGTCACAAAGGTGCAACTTGCCTGCTACATTTTCTAAATCACTAACATTGAATCGTTTTTACTCTACTCCACTGGTAGACTTTCTATGTTGTTGCTACTTTAAAGTTTTCCACTGTATCCATGATTTGCCACGGTAAGAATCTGAACATACAGCACATTTCAAAGCCGTTAGGAATGCGGAATAATAACAAAAGATAGGCCCCAATTTACCCACAAACATGGACAACTACAAATTACTTTATAGCATTTGCAAAGCGTGTCTGTCTTTCTTCAAAGTCTGTTTCTCTATTGTTTGGGACAAATGTGACTTTTATTTGAAAGCCACATTTTAAATCGTTTCCAATATATTTTTGTTAAGTGAACTAAATTGAATTTCTTTTTTTTTTTTTTTAAGATTTTATTTATTTATTTGAGAGGTAGAGCTACAGACAGTGAGAGGGAGAAACAGAGAGAAAGGTCTTCCATCCACTGGTTCACTCCCCAAATGGCTGCAATGGCTGGAGCTGAGCTGATCCAAAGCCAGGAACCAGGAACTTCTTCTGGGTCTCCCACACGGGTGCAGGAGCCCAAGCGCCTGGGCCATCTTCTACTGCTTCCCCAGGCCATAGCAGAGAGCTGTATCAGAAGAGGAGCAGCCAGGACTAGAACGGGCGCCCGTATGGGATGCCAGCGCTGCAGGCAGAGGCCACAGCACTGGCCCCTTAAATTAAATTTCACATTCACCAATTATATTTCCTATCTGTAACCATTCACAAGCATTTTTAAGGAGTGTTTTTCAAACAATTCCAACAACTCAAACTTTTTCGTGTACTACAAATGTTATGCCAGATATGTCACTACATGGTCTCAGACTCATTTCTGGATATCTGGAGAATTACGAGGTTTGATAGAATAAGCTCAAGGAGAGAGCTGAGAGGAGAAAAGTAAGTTGTTTTTATTTCTAAAAAATGCCACACTGAGCCCCATCACCAGAGAGTGAAGCACTTGAAATCACTGATTCTCTTGATGTAAGAGAGAAAGCAAAGTACAAATTTTAAAATGAAGTTTCCACATAAATGATGAATTTTTCTCATCCGTGTGTCAGTCTCTGCAGGTTTCCTTACATTTTCCCTCAATTTCAAAACCACCCTCAAGAGCTAAACTCTCACAGTGAGACTGAAAAAGACGTTAAAAGAGGAAAAAAATAAAAAACCAAAAGATGCATTCTTAAACACTATTAATCACTGTAATTCTGGCCAACAGGCATTGGTCACTGCACACAATCTGCCAGCCAGAAGCTCTCTTCCCCAAGGCTCTGAAAAAAACCATTTTATTATCCTGACAAAAGTATCAGCAGGTAAACTCATTTCAGTGAAAAACACCAGGCAGAACAGTGCGTGTGTGTGTGTGTGTGTGTGTGTGCGCGCGCGCACGCGCGCACAGGGGGTAGCTGATATCACTCTGCCCCCCCCCCCCACCTCAGTAACCAAACGTGAGGGAAGAGAGAGGCACCCTGCAGGCAAGCAAATGTGCAGCGGAACAGAAATCCGGGGAGCAAGCCGCTCCCCAGCAACAGGCGGAATCAGAGGCACTTGCAAGGCCTACCGCACCACCATACCAGAGGCTGCCCAAGAAACAATTTCAGAATGAGGGGGTGGAAACTTCCCCAGCCCCGAGGGAGCCGGTCCACTGGGTCCCCACAGCAGGTGGTCTGCCGCAGAGACTGCAAACAGGGGTCTATCGGACAGGACACTTGCCCAGCCCAGAGGAGACCCCGCCCGCTGCCACTTGGGCTCAGCTGGCTAAGAACGTCGGGCTGCAGGAAGACACACAAAACCCCAGGCCTTAGAACCCAAAGTCGCTAAGGAACAGCCTTTGGTAAAAATGTGCTCACACCCAGGCTCAGCCTTGGGGGAAGGCCGGGACAGGCCCGCCTATTTCAACCTCAGCTCAGGGTCTTCAGCCACTGCCTCTCTGGGGGCTTTCAAAGCGAACCTTGGCGGAGAGGCTGCCTCAGAGAGACAAGTGCCAAGGGCCGGCTCAGCTGCTGAGCCCCAGGCCACGGTGGGCTCTGCACCGCCCCCCCCCCTCCACCCGCACACCATGTCCAGCCACAAGGCGATGGAATGGGCTGGGTAAACACGGGCCGTTTTATTGCTGGCCAGGAATTCTTCCTTCATTCATTAAAGCGGGTGAATGAAAATATTAAGAAGTAGGTAAGGCATTTCCTGGGCTGCTTACCGAGCCCCCCTCCGTCTGCCTTCTTACCTCGGCTACCAAAGGGGCAAGCCACTTCCCCTGTCGGGAGGCAGCCGCACGCTGGACCTTACACAGACCCCGCCGCGCTCCTCTTCAGGAGCACCTAAGTTTCCGGCTCCTTTCCGCCTGTCCCTTCTTCCCGGCTAAGGCAGCGTCCAGCTGTGTTTCCAGGACAGACTCAGCATCTCGCCCACCGCACCCCGCCAACCCCATGCCGGCGCCCGAGGACGTGCCTCCAAGACCCCATCAACGCACCCACCTGAGCCTACCCGGCGGTCGGGGGGCCTGCAGCGCCCTCGCCCCGGAGGAAGGCGCTGAGAGCCGGCGACCCGCACGGCCGCCCTTCCGCCACGCCGCGGACGGGCCGACGGCCCCGCGCCCCGCTCTGCCGTCCCCAGCGCCGGGTTTCCCCGCGGCTGCTCCCCGCCAAGAGTCGGTCTCAAGTCGGCTGCGCACGCCAGCACCCGGCTTCTGCCCACAGCACCAGCCCCAGCCCGAGCCGGCTCCGGCCGCAGTTCCGCGCGCACGTTCGCGCGGCTGCCCGCGCTGACCCCTCAGCCCGCACCGTCTGAGGGCCCCGCATCCCGGCCCCCGCACCCTCCCGCCCAGGTGCGCCTTCCCCGCGCCCGGGACCCCGGCCGCGCGCCCCGCCGCTCTCAGAGCCGGCTCGCCCGGGGCATCCCGCGCCCGCACCGCCCGGCCCGGCCCGGCCCGGCCCGCACGCGGCCGCGCCAGCCCCGCGCTCACCTTCCCTGGCTTTCAGCAAGACCGTGTTGGCCACGATGTTTTCCAGCTCCATTGACAGCCGGCGGGCAGCGCGCGAGCCGGCCGGCGGGGCTGTCAGCGCCTGCGGGGCTGCCGCTGCTGTGGAGCGCGAGCCCGCCGCGCCTACCGCATGATTCCTGCTCCCAGCGCTCGGAGCTCGCCCCTCTGCGGCGAGCAGCGCCGCCGCCGCTCCTTCCTCCCTCCGGGTCCCCCGCCCCCCGC